CTTGATATCTTTTAATGATATAAATAGAATTTAAAGGTTGAAAGAAAGTTATTGTATAATGATGTAAACCAGACTGGCATTCCAATCTCACAGTTAGAGAAACTGAATAAATATTTAAATTTTAGAAAGGAAAATATTAATCATTGATAACGCCATTACCATTTGAGAATAATATTTCAAAACAGGTGCTGTGTTTTGTTAGTAAAATGTTTTTATCATTTTCTTTTTAGTTCTAATGAGACCCTGGGGAACAGTTTTTTGAATACCAGTGGAGGGCTTTGCAAAGCATGGGTAGTAAAAACACAACAAAACAAACATTTGCTAACTGCAAATGCTGTATTGAAAAATAGTTTAAATTATTAATTTCACTATCTGTTTTTATGTCTTTACATTTTAATGCATAGGCAACTCTTCTCAGTAATCTCACTACATATCAAAATGAAGGTATATGTTATCTGTTTAAACTGGGCTTGGGAGTTCTTCTGTCTTGTCTATTACAAAAAGCTCTGGAATGAGGTTTATGGACTGTGCATAAAGGCTGATCATGTATCATGCTGCTTTCTAATGAATAAACTGAATGTAAGCCAAAAGTTCTCTCTTGTGTAATTCGTTTGGAATCAATAGAGTTAAATAAGGACTGAATATAGCTTTGTACCTCTCTGTTTAGGCAAGTGTTTTGGCAATTATTCAAGCAATTATAGATATGTGCTTGTGTACACCCAAGCACAGATTCAAAACACTGCAACTTCCTCTCATAAAAAGTAATGTTTAAAAACATCAGACAATAATGAGTATCAGCTGTTCCTGGTGAATAAAAAGGAATAAGGTTTGATGTATTACATGCTTTTTCTGTACTAGTGACTTTTAATAATGATTTTACACTATCATGATAGCACATTATGGGAAAGAATATGAAAAACAAAAGGGTTTTTTCTCTTCTTGAGCTCTTTTCTAAATAGGTTTCTATTAAAATGTAGTTAACTACTTGTTGAAATGCCTTAAATTCAATTTCCTTTATTTCTGTTTTCAACCTAGTGTAGGAATTTAATATATTTTTAATTCCAAAGTACTGCATGAAAATACAAAATGTGTTCTAATTTCCTGTTTATATGTATCTACACACTTATATGTATGGGAGCTCTCAGACTAGGTTCTTACAATGCTAAACACAGATATGAGGTGCTCAAAATAGAAGGCTGGCTTACAAACAGAGGTTAGCAGTTAGCAGATAAAGAGGTTAGCAGATAAAAAATACCAAGTCCCAAACTGCTTCCAGGTCTTCATAAGAATTAGAGGACTAGATCCAGACCAAAATATTTAGCTTTATCAACACATCTGTGACTTCAAGAAACACAGACAGATGTAATTAAGGCAGAGAGAAAATAAAAGGTTTTTTAGACACCTTCTTCCTTACAAACCACACAGTCTTTAACATTAGAATGCTAAGGTTGCAAATCCTATCTTTCGTAATGGACTAGTGTTTCTGCTGTTACTCTCCTTTACTCAAAAACAGCCGCTGAAAATAAAGTGCACTCTGCTATCAGTATAAATTGATTCGGATGAAGCAATTAAGTTAAAATGCATAATTAAAATGTGACATGATTTCTGCATTATTTACCATACATCACTATTGTAAATGGTGTTTCAGTCTGTTAATGAAATACAAGAGCCAGCTCAAAGCAGATCCAGTGACTAGAAAATGTGCTTCCCAGAAATACAGTAATATACTTTTATTTATGTATATTTTTCGCTTCCCAAAATGCAAAGCATAGATGTATTTTGAGGTATGCATTAATAAAACATCCCCTCAGACTAAACAAATTACTGTTATAAGCTCTGGTATAGAAACATATATGTAATATAGACTAGTATAATTAAAAATAAGCATTTTATTTCAATTAATTTATATCTAGATAAAACTAACATAACCTGAGTTCACCACATTCTAGCCTTCATTCAGCATCCATTACTTCCTTTGCCTGCATATTAACCTATGGAGAAAACAGTCATTGCTATGTTAAAACATGTGGGCAGCATGAATTATTTTAATTGAGTCACAGTTCCAAGATGCCTTGAAATACAGGGTGGAAACTTGATGCTGACTTGCGCCCACAGAAAACTAAAAGACTAAAGAAGGAAACAAGAACTTTCTCTCTCAGATGCTTCTTGCTTGCAAAAGGGCAAGATCACTATGGAAAAAAAATAATTATTACAGTCCCTGGGGAAAATAGGGGCGGTGGGAGTATAATGTTCGTAAAATGCCAAACCAAAGCCATGCCATCCATCTGAGGACTAGTTAAGGTTTGCTGTTCATCCTTCGGTTCCTTGCCTCAGCTACTGCTGCCATTTGGAAGAAATGGGAGAGGCAGTGAGCAGAAGGGAATGTGGTCAGCGTGAGGGGACCCCATAGCTGTATGGAAAAGTCAACAAGCTTATTCAAAGTGGCTCTAGTTGATGAAATTCAAAATCATTTTTCTTTCTCCATTCAGTAGATTTTAATGTGAATATGAAGGACAGAGAGGCTTGTGGGGGTTTGGGGTGGGGGGGGGGGGGGGG